GTTGCGATAGTGCCCACGCTTATGCATACACACATGGGTGTTGTGCTTGGTGCGATAGGGTTGCGATGGTGCCTAGAATCAAGCTAGGGCTGCGATAGCGCCTAGGCATGATGCTAGGGATGCGATAGTGCCTAGCACACCATGGTGCGCCTAGGCTTGCGATGAGCTAGCCTAGCCTAGCTACGGCTACGCTCGTACTTGTTGCTTGTGATTTTGCGACGCTCGGTCTCGGCGCCCTAGGCTCAATATCCGACGTCTGTATTCGTAAAACTCTACTGACTCATTAAAACTTTTCGGATTAATTCGTCTTCTCGGATCGGTGGTTCGATTGGGTTCGACCCGAAGGATTCAGTTAAGATTAAGTTGTAACATCAATTGCACATTGATATTACTGATCAGAAGCGGCCTCCACCTAGGCATTCCGATCACTTGACCTTACTGAAGAATTAGCTTTGTAATAATTCTGAACCCTCTATCGGAAGAATACACTTGTTGGAAGGACACCATTCTTTTCAACTTAAGCTTCATGGATCTCTCATAAGCAATTAAGATTGATCCTAATAACAAATATTTTCAACAAAAACTCACATAGGTGACCTCTAAATTGGGTTGGTCTCAGAAATTGGTTAATGATGCACTTGCGGTTACAAAGTGGAAAAAAAAAAGTTAGAAAATAAAGGGAAAAAAAAGAAGGAGACGATCGTGGAAATTGTTGTGTTCGTAGATTTGTTGGTGTAAAAGATGACACTAAAGTGGAAAAGAATGCTAGTGGCAAATCTTTGGATTGGAGGGTAAGGTCAACCCTACTGATCAAGATGAAAGGTCTAACGTTATTGATACCAATTCTGTTCTGAGTTCAAAGAAAAAAACCTAAATCTTACAGGGCAAGTTATCGGTTTTCGAATCGAAAATGAATTGATTCTTATCTGCATCTCACCCTGACAATGTATGGGCCAGTTTCTAAAGGACGAACACTATACTATTGTTCTTCATTCCAGGAAGAATTTTATTAATTCGAGCACTTGATCCTCCAAAGAAGATGGATGGTATTGAAACTCAAGAAGTTTCTATACCAATGGATATTAGTCACCCTCTTATTAAAGGGCATGATAGGAGTGAAATAACTCCAATTTTGACGCAAGAAGAACGAATAGGTATAGTCACTCAAGCATCATCTTATGAAACTACGACGATGTCCCTTCTAGATGCACCAGTCCTTATCCCCATTGAAGTCTACTACGAACCCCAAAACCTGCTTCTCTCAGACGTCATTGATAGTTGCCTCCTCTCGCCATTCTGGGGCTTGAAGGAAAATTGTTTTACGAAAAAGTAAAACTCCCTCCGTTATTACTAACTCCTTGTTTTGCAGGATGAGTGGCTCTAAAAAAAGAGCATCCTGTTCCTCTGAAAATATTTGGTTTCCCAATAGAAAAAAATTGTATGGACCTACCCCTAATGTTCTAGTGTGTAATTTGTTTTATGATTAATATTATGTTTTATCTCATGTCTAAAAATAAAAATTAAATATATTTAATTGTATGAGTATTAACTGAAATTTTGTTACTTGGTTTAACAAGAAATTTCGTAAAGAGCAATTTTAAGTAGGAATGTGGTCAACCAGATTGTCTATTCAAGCCTCAAGGTACTTATAATTGTACGACACTATAGAAACCTTAATTTTGGAAGCATGTCTATTGAATTGGAAGAACTTTGTAACATGTTTAGGGAACTTGTGGTTGGACTTGGTTTTTATGGTAATAAGATACCATTGTTAAGTTGTCATGAATCTTGTACGTAATAGTTGCAAGTAGTTTGGAGCTATTATGTGATTATCATGTTGTAGGCGTCATTCGTAACGCACCTAATTAAGCATGTTGTGAATATGCTTGGTAATCATAGGAAGTGGGAATTAACATATATACGATTAGGGACATGGAAAGTAGGGAGCCGCCAACAAGTTTTTTAAGGAACTTGTAAACCGTTCACGGATCATTTAAGACAACCACGATCAAGGGACAATGAAAGGCAACAACAATTGACTCGTGAAAGTTACACCCCATTAATAATCCATGAGATTACTAACTCCATATGGTTCGGAACCATGAAAGGAAGATCGGGGATGACGGTATGAAGTGAGTCATGGAGTCACATTCGCCCGTATTGGCCTCTACTCGATTCTTATTGTGAAAAATAATTCCTACGATCTCAAAGGCATACAAACAAAGATTCAATTTGCTTCAAACTAATATCAGGCTAAATTGGTTGAATGTTAATGCAACATATAATTCTAGAATATTATGATCACTTCAATTAAATAACAAGATTAAAAAATTATCCTAAACCGGTCGTCCAAATTATCTTATTAGGCGTTATATTCAATTACATATTCCCTTTAACATGCAATATGGTGATCAATAAACATAATAGAATCAACATCAATATTGGAAGCAATTTAACCATAAAAATAACAATTAATATAAACATAACAAAAATCGTTAGAAATATAATAGGAACAAAAGGAAAATGATTCCTTACTTTGATTGCTTTTTCTTGCAACTATAAAACAATAAACACGTAAGTTACTTCATGGAAAATAATAAACAATAATGAGAATTAAATCAAATGAAGGTAAAGTTGATTTGGGGCCAAACCCTCAAACAGTTCTACCTTTCACGCCTTAGTTTAAGTATAGAACATCTGGTAAAGTGTGGACTCTAGGGAATGCTTAGGAAATGTATTGTGAAAGAATAGGGAAGGCAAGTATTATAGGCTAGAGGATAAGAGAGAGAGAGAGAGAGAATTATTTTTGGTGCCCCAAAACTGAGAAATCAGCCTCGTATTTATAGTGGAAATAAGAGGGGTGAGGTCCAAAACCCTAGAAATGAAGCGTCACGGAGAAATTAAACCTAAAAATTACCGCCTCAAGGTGCAAATTGCCGTGACACGGCACATATTGCAGTGGCGCGGCATTTCTACCGCGACACGGCAGATTCCTTTTTTGGAATTTTGTTTAAATTCATTTTTATCTTTTTGTTTCACATTAAGTACGGGATAATTTAGGCGCCGTTTTAGTGTTTCGGGCTTAATTAGGTTTAGGGTTTTTAATATTTATTAATCGAGCTTAATTAATAAATAGAATGAAATGGATTAAAAGGGGTTTGGGCTGAAATGAGGATAGGACTATGCTTTAACTAAATACTTGGACTGAAAATGTGGACTGATTTGTATGCTGTGTTGGATTAAATATGGATTTTAATCACTCCCGAGATTAAATAATTGACCCGACCAATAATGTCAGTGAAAGGTTATTCATCATCGGGTTTGGTTTTGGGGAGACAATTTTTAAATGTCTACACATGTACTAATGTGCAAGGGAATTGGAAGCAAAAATGTACGTGAAATCAGTGGCAGATCTTGGATTTGGGGAGTGAGTTTGATGAATAATAATATTTTTTTTTTTTGCGAAATAGGGGTACATCTATACCTCTGAGTACCCCCTGGATCGGCCACCGCATGAAAAATATATTGATTAAATTATTTCATAACTGTATTCATTCATAGATTGATCGGATTGAGTAAAAGAAATCATGAAAGTCTTAAATGACGAGGTTAATTGAATAGGTGCAACTTTTGATACTTTTATAAATGTGATAATGAGTCAAATTGGTGTTTGGAGATCATCACTATTGTTTACTTGAAGATAAAAAAAAGTGAAACATATCGTTGTGAAAATTTATGTGGTGATTTTGATTGATGAATGATTAAAAAAAATTAAATTCGCTAATCTCTTAAGTAAAAGAGAGATAAGCTATAAAACTTAAGATATATACGCACGTATGGAGTATTGACAATCAAGGATAAGGAGTAGATGGTGGCAACCTGCTACTTATTCTTGGGTGTCGTGTGTTCAACGTATCTCGAATTATTCATACCTATGGTATAATTTATTTTGGGCTGTTAGTTCGGATATCGTACTAGCAATGGAAATAAAGTTGCGCCAGATTACCACCTTATATATTCTTTTTATTTATTTGATTTTCCTAATCTATAGCATGGAAGAGATACAACCTTATCAATTGATTAATTCACTTATGAACTAAGCTAACACTACAACAAAAGCACTCTTGTGCCACGGAGCTAGCCACGGGAAATTAAATATTTTTGGCACAAGTGTTTGCAAAAAACTGATAAATCTAATGCCAGGAGAGAAACTACAGGTGACATTTAATAAGGATTGTCGCCCGATTGGTGAGAACTCTTCTATATTTACATACTTTTTGGGTCAAACCGTTTGAAATTGCACTTGTTGTCCTTTGGGAGTTCCAAAGTGGAAGATCATTGAAGGCCATTATATTAATTTTGCATGGAAAGTTGTGCTGGTATTAATTATTTTGAGCCTTATTATTCTAAAGTTATATATGTAATTATTAATGATGTTTCCAACTTCTTTTTTCGTCACCCACTACCCAGGAGAAGTTCACAATGGATCAACCAGAAATGCGGAAAGAGTTCATTCTCAGGCATATGAATGCACTATATCGTGACTACAGGAGGAAATTAAAAGCTATATACTATGACGTTCATGAATTGATTAACCAAGCACAAAGGGAAAAAACATAAGCCAAAAAATGTTGCAAAATGAGATTGGTCATGCTTGTGTAAACTTTGGCACTCACCAGATTTCAAGGTAACTCGTTAGTTTCATTAGTATACATTTCAGTTCATATCTTGTATGATTATATAACAATTAAGTATATTTCTTGTTATAGAAGCTAAGTAAAAGGAATAGAGAGAATAGATCTGGATTGAAGAACCTACTCGCGCTGAAATTTTAATTGCATCGCGACAAAGAACATCAAGTAAACCTGTTGATCTTGTGAAGTTTGCTGAAAACCAGGAAATTTTGGTATGGATTACAAATTATGTATTTTTTTTAATGGATTTTAAGAAAAAGAATAATTATTTAATCCACTTAGTTGTCCACTTAAATGCTGTCAAAGTTGAAAAACTTCATACAGGAGAGAGAAGATGGTCATAATAATATGACTGATGAACAAATCTTTTTGGAAATACTTGGTGAAGAAAAACATGGATATCTGCGTGCTTATGGAAGAAATAAAAGCATTACTGATCATTTTAAATAGAAACCAAGTCGTATCAATCTTGCTAATCAGGTTATTGAAATTGAGAAGAAAGCTGAAGAAAGACTTGAAGAAGCTAAAAAGGCTATGGAAGAAAAAATGGAGGAAAAATTAGCTGAACGTGATCAAATGTGGGAGGAAAGGTTCAAGAAGTTGTGTGAGAAGCTTGGAGCACCATCAGCAAACCATGATCATAAGACAACTTAATTTGATCACTAGTAAGTGTTTTTTTTTTAACAGTATTTAATTACATATCTTTTACTTTTAAGGTTTATATAGAGCACCAATACTTGTGGTGAAATAACAAGGGGTCATACCTTCCTTAGGATAAGGGTAGTTGCTATATGTTATTTGGAGCTTTAATTATATAATATCTTTAATTAATGGTTTTAATTTGCTTCATTTAAATTGTTTCCATTTTTAACTATTTTTTTTTCTTTTTTGTAGGGATGACTATGTCAAGAACTCAGAAACTTACTACTTCACCAGATTAGAGGATGCAGGAGATATAAAATGTCACTGAATATTCAATGTTTTTGAGATATTATGGACAAATGATATTTTTTGTTGTGAAGCATGACTTTATAAACTAGTGATGGTATGATGTAATTTTTGGGATTTTAAATACTTGGTAACAAATTACAAGTATAAATTAATGTTATTTATACCCGTTGCTAATTACTTGTGCCATGGGAACTTTGAAGGCTAGCCACAGGTATACCCATGGCACAAGAAGGTAAATGTTGTAGTGAAACTAACGAAGTGTAATGGTATAAATAAAAATAAGATTCTTGGTGTCATTTAATACCTTGCATAGTTGCATGTTCAAAGATTGATTAATAACCGATTATTTATTATATATGTTGAATGTTTGTACGTAGAATGCTAAGATTATCAATATAATTACAAATATATTTATTTTGAGCTTGTGTGTGTGTCTATGTCATTAAGAGAGAATCCACTTCATAAGTCCAAATAGGTTCCAACCCAAAATCTTATCACAATTACATGAGTAACTCTTAGTATTATAAAGTGATTAACTCTTTCATTTCTTTTATTAATGTGGGGCATTTACATGTGTTTTTTAAGAACTGTAATTTGGAAGGAGCACACAAGAGGGAGGGTGAATTGTGTAGGAACTAGTGTTCCCAAATTTTGCGGAAATTAAAAACGTTTAATGCTATGTAACAAATAAAACTACAAGAGAGATTTTTGCGTGGAGACTTCTTGCGCCCAACAAGAAGAAAAACAACAACCATTTGGGACTATATAGGCAATACTACTACAACCTATTGGAACTCGATAAGAATTTAAGTTCCTTTGGAACCTAAATCAACCCAAATGCTCTCTGTAGCTTCAACCCCGAAGCTTGAAAACTCAAGACTTAATTCTAAGTCTCTACAAAAGATAACTCAACCTTTTTCTGAAATTACAACTCAATAATAGATTTAACTCTAATACATAGAATCTGAATAACAATTAGGAACTTGGAACTCTTGAAAACATTGAATTTGTGGTACTAACTTAATTACGCGAAAACAAAATACTTCCTCCGTTTTATTAATATAGCAACAAGGATGAAATTACGCATCCCAAAGCACATTTTATATGCTAAATATCTATAATTGTGTAAGAGTAAAAATTATAAAAAGTTGATATCGTGAAAGTATTTTATGAGACGAATCCAACAAGATCCCACATGACCATATTTTGCTTAACGTTTAAATCATATTATATGGTCAAACAAGAGTGATGAATAGTGCAAAAATTCCATTGTTGCAATATTAATAGAACGGATGAAGTACATTATAAGAAAATCTTTTCCACTTAAGTTAGACCCATTTGGAATGACTCACTAAAGCCAGACAATTTGAAAGTGAAGATAAAGTCTCTTATTTATAACGTACCCAAGTGTACCCACTTCCTCCACATTCTCTACAACAGTTAGTGTTCCTAAACTTTAGGCTCAACCATTATCAGTATAGTGGAGAACATGGGGGTGGAAGTGATTATTGTGACGTATGGGTAAGCATTAGCAAACTGTTTTCTTGGAGAGAAATTATAGGGAGTGCTTAAATCAATCCTCGGAGAAAAAGAAAACGTGTTGTAAAATAAGGTATCCAAGATATTTGTTTTTCAAAACATTTCTTTAATCAATTTAATCACAAGAATAATTTCCAGTAAATTAATCTTCAACTTAAATGTAATAAGAAGACTTGATCTAATTACAAACTTTTACAAGTTTCTTTAGATAGCTAGTACTAAAATATCTCAATTGATTTTCAAGAACAACATGATTAATAAAAGATATTTTTAGAAATAGATAAGTTTTTGTAAAATAAAATCCTAGAATTATTTTCCAAAAACTAAATAAAATCTTTTCTTCTAGAATAGATTTACTTTTATCATATTAACAAAACTTTATTTTATAAAATATTTTTTCTAGGAAAAATATCTAAATAAGAATTCAACTTCATTGAACGCTTATTTAGAGAAGATCAATTTCGTACTTCCTTCAAGTACCTTTTAATACCATGAGTTCCAATACCTTTCAAGTTTCTACGTACATACATGAATCCTAGAAAATAAACTCATATCTTCTGTCTTCACACTCCATGCTACTCTGCATGTTGATTGTTCCTCTTAGGGAACTTGATAGTGTTTCTCATAGGATCTTGTATATAGACTACTATACGAACACATGACTTGAACTTCTCTATTTTCTTCCTTCGATTATTCTGTAGTACGTGTATTTCATGTAGATATCAAAGACTTCCCTCGTTTCAACTCTGGAACTTGTTCCTATCCTAAGAACGTGCCTAAAAACCTGCACACTTACACTTTCATAAAACCGAAGTGAAGTATATAAATAAAGTTCTTCAACTAACATAATTAAATAATAAATATAATAATTATATAACTTTAAATACTTGTTCCCTATATATTAGGAACTTCTCTTTTGAAGTACCCTAATGGGAACTTCACTGATTGTTGCTTAAACCTTCTTCATGATATACAAGGAACAACCCTCTGTAACTTGTTTAATGCGCACATCAACACACAAGTTAGTTAATAAGCATCATCTCTTTATAATCATCAAAACCATATCATCTCAACAATTTCCCTGTTTTTGATGATGACAAACAAATGATGCTTATTGCAAATTAAGTAATAAAGCAATGTACATATATTCTCCCTTAATCTTGCAATGTAAGAACCATTGAACAAAGTCATGCACATATAGAAAGGAATTGCTTATACAGATAACATATCAATAATATCAGAAGCACCAAAATTCATTAGGACTTAGACTTGACTATATTCGACCATAAGCATCGTATAACATTCTTCCCCCTTTTGTCATTATCGAAAAGGATATAATTTCACATATTAAGCTTAGACAAATCACATGCACACAATGTTATATGTCCCACTTACCATCATATAGGTTAAACACTTGGTGTTCCTAAAAGCCTCAAGAGTCAAGACACTCAATTTTAAATCAGGATGTAAGTGCTACACAAATTTCCAACTCACAATCCAAAGACCCAACTTTAGAACCAAAGAAGGAACTTGACAAATATATATATATATATATATATATATATATATATATATATATATATATATATATATATATATATATATATATATAAAAGGAATATACGGAATAGAACAAGTGAGTAGAGGAAACTTTAAATAGATATTATGATCAAGCTTAGAAGTTTATGATGAGGTTCTCAACAATCATTAGAGTTTTAGAATTTTGACCTTGCATTCTTGAAACTCCAACCAACCATAATACATAATCACATTGATATATAATTATACCAAGTCTCCTTACTTCAACCACCAATCTTACTTAAGGAAACACATTATAATAGGAATTTGAAATAAACTTAGTTTCATATATAACAAGTTATTCAACTTTTTTTTTCTTCCGCTCCTTGCTCAAGCTAAGTAGTCCATGAGAAAAATATACATAAGAATCTAGGAACTGATAAGAATTTGATCACCCTTTTATTTTTTTTATTTTATTTTTTATTTTTTCACAAGGGTGTCTTACCATTTTTGTGTTATCCTAGAATATAACAATTACGTACGTACAATACCAAGACAATATTCACTCATAGACTTTTGTGTTCCATCACCAAAACCATATTGATCGTTAAGTTCCTACTTTATTCCCCCTGCGTTCCTTATAATTACTTTCATTTTGTTACTTATTAGAGGTGTTAGTTCCATATATTCATATCAACACCCGAAGCATCAGATAGTAATCATATATATATAAGTAATACTTGCTTCTTACTTCCTCCACAAATTCCCCCTTTACAAGTGATCATCATTTAAAACTCTTCATTCTTCTTTGAACCATAAGAAATGATGCAGATTGATTTAGAGTGCATGGAAATTGAGAAAATAAAACAGATTGATATGAATGAGGCAAAGGAAAGGTGAACAAGAATCTTCAAAGTTATGAATATATGAAATGTGAAAGTTAAAAACGTGAACCATAACGCAACACGGACACACAACAAAAAAGTTGTAGAATAATGTTGTCTTTGAAGACATATGGTGTGGTTATTTGGAAGTTGGATAAAAGATAGGCTTGTTCCCTCTAAAATACATAGATAAGCAGAATGAAAAAGTTTTGGAAACTTGCCAATCTTGTTCCATCAAAGTTTCTTTCATTGTTCCTTTGGCAACTTAGGATTTGTGTTTTCACTGCACATTCATAGTTCTCAATGAGATCTCTAATACACTTAAGAAAGTGAGTATGTCTTGTAATGACACAATAATTAAGTGTGACACAATAACACTTAGATACACATAATTGTGTAGTGACCTTCAATTGATAAGACTTTGGGAAAATAATACATTTATGCTCAAGTCATGTTTTATCAATCTATTTCCTTTAGACAATTCACATAAAAAATTGATGAAATCACAAGAAATATTAATTCACATGTTCTAACAACATATTGCAAGTTCCTTAAAAAAAATGCAATTAATTTTAAACACCAACTATGCAATATTGTGAATATAAACAACATACCTCATGCAATGCTCACCATGTATCAAATTTAATTCGAAATGGACTCGATTATGATGGCCAAGTTACGAGCTTTAAAATGATTAGTCTCCTCTTCTTTCAAACTCGAACCTTATTGAGTGACATTGATGTCCTTCGCCATCTTCTTTGGATGTAAAATTGACTTACCCATTTACCTATACAAATAAGTAACCTTCTACATCCCTCTTATACAGACTTTTAATGAATGGAGCTCGTATATATTTTGAAAAATATATACTAACAATTAATGTGCATTATCCATTAGGTTGTCTCTTCTCATACAGCCTGCTAACTCAAACATTTCTTGGTCTTAGGAACCCAAATTAATTTGAGTTCCTTCTTGTCAGTAAGAGTAGTCAAAATTTCATTTTTCAATCAAACAATTTATATAATTACTACTAACAAGAAACAACATGCATCTATATAAAAAAAAAAAAAAATAAAAAAATAATATCTAGAATGCATGTAATTAAAATCAATTCATTGGCAACATAAAAATAAGCAATAATACCTTTGCCAAAAGAATTCATTTTCAAGTTCCAAAGTTATGTATATGCATTGTTCCCTAAGATATGTTCCTTAAAAAATTCAATTTATCTGTTTATAAAATCCATTTCGAAAATTTGAAATTTCTAAAAAAAAAACAAGATGGATTAAAGAACATCCAAAATCGATAAAAAAATTTAAATGAATTGAAACAGTTGATAAAAAAAATACTACAAGGAACATGTATTAAATAAGTCATGCATGCGCATATATATGTAATGATCCAAATGATTAGGAACTTACCTCAAAGGCTCAAATGTAATCTTTGATCTTTGTACGACTTTTTAATATTATGAAACAGTCAGCCCTCATCTGTCCCTAAAGATGGCATTTCATTGAGTTCCAATCATCAAGTTTCTTCGTTCATAGGTACTCCTCCTTCACAAAGAACATGATTCAATAGGGTTTCTTGCTACATACTGAGAACTGCTCTGATACCACGTGTTATTTGGAAGGAGCACACAAGAGGGGGGGTGAATTGTGTAGAAACTAGTGTTCCCAAATTTTGCGGAAATTAAAAACGTTTAATTCTATGGAACAAATAAATCGGCAAGAAAGACTTTTGCGTGGAAACTTCTTGCACCGAATAAGAAGAAAAGCCACGACCAATTTGGATTCTCTAACTCGACTTCACTATGTAGGAAATACTATTACAACTCGATAAGAATTTAAGTTTCTTTAGAACCTAAATCTACCTCAAATGCTCTCTGTAGATTCAACCCCGAAGCTTGAAAGCTCAAGACTCAATTCTAAGTCTCTACAAAAGATAACTACCTCAACCTTTTTTTGAAATTACAAGTCAATAGATTTAACTCTAATACATAGAAACTCAATAACAATTAGGAAAACTTCGAACTCTTGGAAACATGAAACTTGTGGTACTAACTTAATTACATGAAAATAAAACATATAATATGAAAATCTTTTCCACTTAAATTAGACCCATTTGGAATGACTCACTAAAGCCAGACAATTTGAAAGCGAAATAAAAGCCTCTTATTTATACGTACCCATGTGTACCCACTTCCTCCACATTCTCTACAACTAACAGTTAGTGTTCCTAAACTTTAGGCTCAACCAATATCAGTATAGTGGAGAACATGGGGATTGAAGTGATGATCGTGACATATAGGTAAGCATTAGAAAATTGTTTTCTTGGAGAAAAATTATATAGAGTGCTTAAATCAATCCTTGGAGAAAAAGAAAACGTGTTATAAAATAAGGTATCCAAGATATTTATTTTTCAAAATATTTCTTTAATCAATTTAATCACAAGAATAATTTCCTATAAATTAATTTTTAACTTAAACGTTTTAAGAAGACTTGACCCAATTAGGAACTTTCACAAGTTCCTTTGGATAACCAGTACTAAAATATCTCAAATGATTTTCCTTGAAAATAGCCAGTCAAAGCAACATGATTAATAAAAGATATTTTTAGAAAAAGATAAGTTTTTGTAAAATAATATCCTAGAATTATTTTCCAAAAACCAAATTAAATCTTTTCTTCTAATATAGATTTATTTTTATCACATTAACAAAACTTTATTTTATAAAGTATTTTTTCTAGGAAAAATATCTAAATAAGAATTCAATATCATTGAAGGCTTATTTAGAGAAGATCAATTCCGTACTTCCTTCAAGTTCCTTTTATTACCATGAGTTTCAATACCTTTAAAGTTTCTACATACGTACGTGAATGCTAGAAAATAAACTCATATCTTCTGTCTTCATGCTCCATGCTACTCTGCATGTTGATTGTTCCTCCTAGGGAACTTGATAGTGCTTCTCATAGGATCTTGTATATAGACTCCTATAGGAACACTTGACTTGAACTTCTCTATTTTCTTCCTTCGATTAGTTTGTATACGTGTATTTCATGTAAAGATCAAGGACTTCCCTCGTTTCAACTCTAGAACTTGTTTCTTTCTCAAGTACGTGCCTAAAAACCTATACACTTAACACACTTTCATCAAATCGAAGTGAAGTATATAAATAAAGTTTTTCAACTAACATAATTAAATAATAAATATAATAATTATATAACTTTAAATACTTGTTCCATATTTATTAGGAACTTCTTTTTTGATGTACCTTAATGGGAACTTCACTAATTGTTGCTTTAACCATCTTCATAATATACAAGGAACAACCCTCCATGACTTTTTTAATATGCTCATCAACACACAAGTTAGTTAATAAGCATCATTTGTTTATAATCATCAATACCATATTATCTCAACAAGAACTATGTCCCATATTACTGGTATTAGTATCAATAAGTCTTGTACAAGGCGAGTTTATCTTAATTTTATTGTAAGATGGTAAATTTGAGGATAACTTTAAGAATTTTTATTCTAACTATTTAACTCTTTTAAGGTTAACTTTTCATTTATAATGAGCTTGACTGTTTTTAATGTGTAATTTCTATTGCATACATGATATGAAAACTAATATAATTAATCTAATATATCATAAGTGTTTTTTAAGGATAAAATTTATATTAGAAAAATGGTAACTTTGTAGTATATAATGGTTTAATAACTTTAAATACTTTTAGGGTAATTTTATTAACCCGTCTTACAATCAGTTTATGAAAGTTTGCCTTAACCAAGAATTTGTGTATTAATATTTACACATTCGATTTTTATTTGTCATAAATCAGTTTACATACACTTCATTTTTAGGAAATATCTTCATGTTATTCTAATGCATCTCTCTTATGCCATTATCTCTCACATTTATTAAAAATATTCTTCGAATTTCACCATCTTATTTCACATTTGCTTTTTCCTAATGTTAACCTCTTAATCTCTTTTTACATCTATTATTTTGACAATAAAATAACAATTGATAGCTAAATAAATTCTCTACACATACATGTCACCAATCATACATCTAAAACTTATTTGTATGAGTTGCCACCTAATAACTCATCCAATTGAATTGACTTGTTGTTGGCCTCATATCAAGTGCACCTAACATTTTGATAAGCAAGACGCTTTATACATACGAAGTAAACTAATCAAGCAAATTGATGTTTGAACTCCGTGGTCAACTCTTGCACTAATGTTATATAATATCTCATGTTAAGTCATAAAATCTTCATAAAGTGGCTTTTTGGAGTACGAAAATGAACTCCCAATATAAATTTTATTATAATGAAGAAGGGTACCTTCAATGACATACATATCATATCCCTCCTTAATAAATAATTATAACCCAAATCTCATTAATTAATGTATGTTGCCGTCCTAAATAAAAAGTCAACACTATACCTCATATCAAATGAATTTACAAATTAAAATAATTGTCAACTTTTGCAACAATAATAATAATACTAATAATAATAATGATAATCAAAATTTAAACTAAATCTAAGTTTGAAAACTATCAACATTACAATATGTTTTGTTAAAAGTCTTCCAAGTGGTAAAATTGACTACAACCGGAGAACAAATAGCCTTCAAAAGATACTCTTTTTTCTTCCACCCTTTAACTTCATACTTCACATCAACCCTCACCCTAACCTCCAAATCCAAATGCCCAGCCATCGTCTCGTTCCTTATCTCCTCCGCGATACCCTTATCAGAGACCACCACGTCGTGTGCCACCGGATGAGCGGTGAAGAATGTGCTATTCCGGTGGTGCACCGTGTAAGGGTTCTCCGCCTCATACGTCAAGCTATAACCATTTAAATGGTACACCGAGACCACGACTTTATTGTACGTGATATCATATTTTGGATCATTGTTTTGTGAATGAACAATGAAGATGAACTTAGCATTGAGGTGATTCGTGGCGTTGAATTTGTACTCGTTGATGGCGCCTTGCTCGACGGAGAAGGATGGAAACACCATGTGATCGGAATACCAAGCGATGAAAACGGCTGCCCCTCCTAGAAGAATTAAATTGACAATGACGATTATTACACAAACTTTTTTAGCCATTTTTTGTGATCATTTGTGAGATGTAAATATTTTTTGGGTTGAAAATAATATTGATCAATGCAATTGTAAAGTACATATTAAGATTAAGCAAGAGCATGTGATTAGATGAAGCATAAAAAGAAAGAGTAAATAAAGTAAATGTCAACGCAACTCAAACGAAGGAACAGGGCTGTCGACTGACATAACTACGTGCTAACAAAAACTATAACATTTTAATTTTTTAACAAAAATTAAACGTAAGTTTTACTGATTCCGTACGTGAAGTACATAATTTAATGGTAACCAATTCAATAGTGCTATCCTTTGATCCCTTTTCGCATGTACTATGTCACTATTGTGTTTGGCATGATTGTAAATACTTTTACTTCGTCTCCTAAATAATGTTATATTATTGGTGACTTGACACGTGGAGCGGAGAACATTTGGGGTTTGACAACCTCTTATTAATTCACAATGTTAATTAACAGATATAAAATGAATAAATAGGTGTATTTATGTACTTTCTCCGTTTTTTTTTTTTAATTTAGAGTTGTGATTTTTCACTATTCATATGTCATCATTGACTTAATTTTTTTACTAATACTGCAATATATAATATATAAATATGATCATATAATATGTTGTTGGATTTTTCATAATGATTACTTTTATAAATTAAATTTTTTTCAAAATTTTTACTAATCTCTAATTCAAAATATTAATGGTTAAAGTTGTGTCTCGACAAATGTGCAAATTTGACTCTAACTTATAAAAAAAACAAAGAGAGTAACATCCTAACCTGTAATTCATGAATCAAAAAACTACCATCAAATATTTGCTTATCTGATTGGGACGTTACTACCGCACCTCCCTTTTGAAGGATAAAACTTTTTAATTATCATAACCTTGAATGTAGTTTATGAATGTGCTTGAGGTGACACTTTTTAAGATTACTTTCTCCAGGCCCCTAATCTCTGTTTATCCCACTCGATTTCTCTGACTTTCAAGATATGCCTTATAATTTATAGGAAAATTGTTTTTGATAAACCCAACTTTGACTAATTTTTTTTTTTTTATTAACTAATCACAATTTTTGATTTTTCAGGAATAACTCAATTTTAGGGTGTGTTTTCTCTTACAATATCCAACTGGCCAATAACTGGTGAACAAATCGTTATACTAAGATACTTGGACATGTGTCATACCGTGATTGGTCCAACAAATTAAAAATAATTTTAAAAAGAATAAAATATATATGGGAGCCACCTGACCGCTACTGGTGGCCAACCCCCTTCCCTTCCCCACCACAAAACCCCAGACCTACCCCGAACCACCCCCTCCCTTCCCCCCACACCGGAAACCGGCTGACCACCCTAACCTAACCCTAGAAACCGAACCCTTCCCATTCCCCACTCCGTAAAATGACCCCCTCCCCAACCCTCAAAACCACCCCTTTCGTCCTTCCCTTCCCTAACCTTCAAAACCATCTGGGGGATGGAGGGGGGGAGGGGGGCATTAATGTCAGGCAACCATTAGATCTGTTTGAGTTAATATATTCAGAGTCTAAATTCTCTCATTACTCATATTGGATTACAGACGTTTTTACATCGAGTTCTCAAATTGAGTCAATTTTGATAGTTATATATGGCTAGGCCAATAGCAAATGAGCCATCATCAATCTTCAAGAATTTGATGAAAGGGAAAACTATTTTGTTAACTAGAAGTCTAGAATAATGCATAATGTATAGTCTAAAGGGATAATATTGGCGTTTGAATTGGTTCACCAAGTGGTATGAGTTTGGAATCAGGAATGGAGTTAAAGTTTTGATACTTAAGGGAATGGAATAGGCCAAACCCACCTCCGCTCCCCACTCCCCACCCTCAAGGTTTCTAAACCCCATACCTCATGGGTTTGAGGTATGAGTTTAAAATTCATACTTTTGACAACCAAATATATGGTATGAGTTTTAGTCAATCTAAACCCATACCTCATACTTATATTCCGCGAACCAAACGCCCTATAAAGGGAATGAGCCATAGATTGCCTTCGTCTGAATTATTTTAGGAATCTAGCATAGATGGTAAGATAATATATGTTGGTTACTTGTACATATTTTTGTTGGGATTTTCTTTGAAATTGAAAAATTGTAACCAAATACCAAAGTAATTTACATTGTATAGTTCTTTCTAAATTCTAACTATAATAATGTTTCTATACAAACTAGCTAGAATATCATATGTTTATAGTTACAAATGTATTCTTCCATTAAATCATTGTATTCAATCGAATACAAGTATTTATTAGCATAGTTCAACAGCCAGTCTTCTATGAATATACTTGTATATTATACGAACAGCCGAACAGGTAACTAACAAAGTTTAATTTGGTTATTATAATGAAAGTGACTTATTATATTATAATTTAGATAAAAGTAGTTGCAACCTTTTGTCTGGTAAGAAAACCGTCATTAGCATGTCCAATTCAATTATAGTACAGAGCTAGAATTATATAATGCCATAAGTCACATATTCCACATATAATGTAGCAATTATTTTTTTACAATTATTGTAGATTTATTTCTTTATGCTTATCCATCGAACTTTCTTTAAATCCTTCCATAAATTTTCAAACAATCCGTCCATAAAATAATCAAACTTTATGCACATACCAACTAACTTGATCTCTGATCGATTTTCGTTTACATCATTGTTCACTAACTTTTCTTTACATCATTATCCTTTAATTTGTGACATATTACACTCTGCGCTAAACAGAGATGCTTGTTTTGAGTATGTAATTTACGTCACAATTTCCTCAAAACTTTGAATAAACACCAATCCTATAAATCAATAATGAAGGAAATCGCATTATTTTTAGTACCATAAACAAAAATTCTTGTCTAAACCAACTTTATAAATGTCTTGCAAACATGTAATATCATGCACCATCGTGACCTTGATCCTCTTGTTTATTGTGATTGGCATGCCAATTATCATCTATGAAGCAGTGGTGAAACCCAAGGACCCGAAATTCACCCTCGAGCACGCCTCAATCACCGGCTTCAAACTTTCATCGGACGGTCATTTCACGTCCTTCTTCAACGTTATTATTAAGGCAAACAACCCGAATCACAAGCTCAAGCTTAAGTACACTAGCGTCCGTGTATCGATATTTAAAAACAAGCAGAAACTCGCCGAAGATGCCTTAGACAATTTCTCCCAAAGGAAGAAGAACGTGACCATGTTAAGGTCCGAGGCCGTGGCCCTTAATGTAAAACTCAAAGAATCATCTACGTTTGATTTTCGATTCGAGAGCGGAATTGGATACCTTGATTTCGATGTTTTTATGACGGCCTCGTTAAATGGTAATAGTTTGGAGGTTAATTGTAAGCATGCCATTGTTAATAGTAATTCTCCTAGAATTACTAATAATAGTAATAGTAATAATAATAGAGACAATTTTCGTAGTGTAGGATGCAGTGTTCTTATATATAACGATGATGCTTAAAATTAATATTATTAAATATTTTTGTATTATTTTGAATATGATGATGTATTTGTAATTTGTACAGAAGTGATTCTTTGGAATTTGGATTGTGATGTTATTTTTCTTTTGGTATGCAAAATAATTCCAATTTATAAACAGAGGAAAGCATAGATGATATTAAAAGAGCAATTTTCCACAATATTGTTAAAACAAAACTAAATTCATTTTGTGCGTCGGTGTAAAAACAAATTAGGATCGGTGTTGGGTGTTAATATTTTTTGTTTGGTTCAGCATAAAACTGCTAATGGAATAGCGGTTGTAGCTTTAAAGCTGCTAATATTAGCAGTTTCAGGAAAGAGACCGCCTTTTACTATAAACAGTTCTCTTTTCCTCCTTACTTTGAACAAGGTAAGTACAGAGGAAAAGAGAACTGATAATAGTAAAAGGCGATCACTTTTCCTCCTGACTTAATTCACAAAATTCTTGTCCAAAAGCAACTAAGAGAGCGCCAAGCTGCCTGCTGCCAACATTAATATTGCTAAGTTCAAAGAGACCAGCATTCAGTAATAACCGGTCTCTTTACCTCTTTGTTTTAAGAAAAAAAAAGACAAAACCGCTAATATTGTTAGCGGTTTTAACATAAAACCGTTGACAACATTAGCAGTTTTAAGCCAAACCAAATACCAATCCTACATGGACAGTACTTTGAGAATTTGTTTTTAAATTGGTGCATAATGGGAATTTATTTCTGTTTCAACAATATTGATGAAAATCGCTACTATTAAAAATATATATTTTTTTTTTAGATTAGTCCAAAGGGTGAAACGGGTGGAAAACTTAAAAAAAATTATTAATTTACTAAAAATAAATAATTTGAAACTTTATATTGGATAAAAAAAAATAAAAAAAAAATTGACATTTAATATGGAGCAATAAAATCTATACTTGTATAAGAAAAAAAATAAAAATAACAAGAATTAGGGAAATCGGTTTCCTTGCTTTATATTTACTATTTGGTATCACATAGGTATAAACACAAGCTATGCTAATCACAACAAAGGCCTAAGCCCATACTAAACACACGACTCTATATACATCATCCATAACTATAACTATAACTGGGGATTCCAACGCTCGCGATGCGCGCGGTATGACTAGCCTTTGAGAAAAATTATTGCCGATTGCATATATATCCTATGACAGTTTGCGTAATATATTATTAAAACTATTTGCATATAGACGATAATTCTCTTAGATGTTGTGTAGTTGTGCAATGTTCAAAACTTTAGTTGAGCTACTTTGATTTAGTGATTGAACAATAGAAAGATATTGAGTTCAATGTAGAAATATAAATGGAGAGAGCAAAAAATGACTTTAAATATGAAAATAAACATAACTTTTTAAATAAATTTAGGGAATTTAAGGGACAAAGTTAAAGCTTTTGAAATCAAATGGGGACAAATATGTAAAAGAACATTTTTAGGGATATAAATGTCCATATACTATTAATAAGAGTTTTGTTTAACTTTTTATA